TCCCAGAAGCAGGTTTGCTTTTTTTGGAACAGGATCCTAATGTTTGATCATCTTTAGCTTGTGGTCTATTATAACTCCTAGATCCCTTTCTGCCGTACTCCTTCCTAGACAGTCTCTTCCCATTCTGTATGTGTGAAACTGACTTTTTCTTCCTAAGTGGAGCACTTTGCATTTGTCTTTGTTAAACTTCATCCTGTTTAACTCAGACCATTTCTCCAATTTGTCCAGATCATTTTGAATTATGACTCTGTCCTCCAAAGCAGTTGCAATCTCTCCTAGTTTGATATCATCCGCAAACTTAATAAGCATACTTTCTATGCCCATATCTAAGTCGTTAATTAAGATATTGAACAGAGCCGGTCCCAAAACAGACCCCTGTGGAACCCCACTCGTTATGCCTTTCCAGCAGGATTGGGAACCATTAATAACAACTCTGAGTACGGTTATCCAGCCAATTATGCACCCACCTTATAGTAGTCCCATCTAAATTGTATTTGCCTAGTTTATCGATAAGAATATCATGCAAGACCGTATCAAATGCCTCACTAAAGTCTAGGTATACCACATCCACAGCTTCTACCTTATCCACAAGACTCATTATCGTATCAAAGAAAGCTATCAGATTGGTTTGACACGATTTGTTCTTTACAAATCCATGCTGGCTATTCCTGATCACCTTACCACCTTCCAAGTATTTGCAGAGGATTTCCTTAATTACTTGCTCCATTATCTTCCCTGGCACAGAAGTTAAACTAACTGGTCTGTAGTTTCCTGGGTTGTTTTTATTTTCCTTTTTATAGATGGGTCAAACAAGTGTGATGTGTAATTGGAACAGAAAGTAGAGGTAGCTCTTGTTTCCTGGGGAACTTGTTCCCCATGTGGGACCAGGCCCTGAGGAAATCTTCATCTCTGGCACAGATGAGCTTTACGTTTGGGATGGACAGTTTGTGTGCCTGAGGAGTGGAATTATTGACCCTGGTCTTCATCCTGGAGCTTCAGGTGACCTTTTAGATATTCTGGGCTCAAACCACAGAACTTCTTGGGAAGGAGAGAGCTCTTGAATTTGACGCTGTGCTGTAGGGGAGCCATTATAGAGGGCAGCTGTTCTTCAGGTTTAGTTCTGGGTTTGTAACCTGTATTTTGTCGGCTGTGTGCAGCCTTTTACTTTAATCTAACATGTCTACTGCTTGAATGAGATACAATAGCAATTAAAATTCCTGTCTGTGTTCCAGGGAAGGTATCAATCAGGACATGCTACAGATATCTCCCTGTGTCACTGAACAGTTCATTGAATTGTTGTGTCACTACAGTCCTGACCAGGTTTTAGAGACACTGCAGGTTTTGGAGTTCTACAGACTGGAAGAGACCATTCAGGTAAGGCTGGTACACTGTGAGTGCTCATCCACATTTGGTCAGATTTTAGTAAAGGTGTTTAAACTTAGTTAAATGCAGTTCCTGTCAAATGAATTTCTGTTATGGTTTAGGCAGTCAGCATGGACAGGACAAACAGAGCTATGCTCCAGTCTAAGTCACAATTATATTAGCCCAGTTCTTAATTGTCATTCTCACATGGTTAGGAAATAAAGAAAAATTGGGAAACATTGTAAAATCTGATTCTAACATGCTTTGACCCTATTCATGGTGTTGCCTGTGTGGTGTGAGAGAACAGTTTAGCTGCTGCTGTATTTAAAACTTAACTTACTAATTTCCAAATTCAGTTCTCAGCTCATTGAGGAGAGGATCTAAGTCTTCAGAATGGAATTTTTACCTCTGTCATTTGGTTAGATCAGGGGTGGGCAAACTTTTTGGCCCGAGGGCCACATCGGGGAATAGAAATTGTATGGCAGGCCATGAATGCTCACAAAATTGGGGTTGGGGTTCAGAAGGGGGTGTGGGTTCTGGGGTGGGGCTGGGGATGAGGAGTTTGGGGTGTAGGAGGGGCTCTGGGCCGGAACTGAGGGGTTCTGAGGGTTGGAGGGGGATCAGGGCTCAGGCAGGGGTGTGGGAAGGGGTGCAGGTTCCAGCTGGGGGTGCGGACTCTGGGGTGGGGCTGGGGATGAGAGGTTTGGGGTGCAGGAGGGTGCTCTGGGTTGGGATTGAGGGGTTTAGAGAGCAGGAGGGGAATGAGGACTGGGCCAGGGGGTTGGGGCGTGGGGAGAGGCTCAGTGGGTGTAGGCTCTGAACGGTGCTTAACTCAAGCGGCTCCCGGAAGCAGTGGCATGTCCCTTCTCTGGCCTCCTATGCGGAGGCGCAGCCAGGTGCCTCTGCACGTTGCCTCATCTGCAGGCACTGCCCCTGCAGCTCCCATTGGAGTGCGTAGGAGCTGGAGCGGGACCATGCCGTGGCTTCCAGGAGCCACGTGGTGCGGTCCCGACCCTGCGCCCTGGCCGGAGCAGGGCCGAGCCGCCTGGTGCGGCCCCGACCCAGTGCTCCGGCCAGAGCAAGTCCTGGCTGGAGCACCAGAGCAGGATCGAGCCATGTTTTCCCATCCCTGGGTTAGATCCTGTGTAAAGCGGTTCTTTTAGGGAATGTCATTCAAGCCAGTCCAGTCAGATTGCAGTCTGTTTCATATATAAACATACAAACATTCACATTCTAATGGCAGTATGTGGAGTTTCCTTTACATGTAACTAGGTTATGCGAATAGAGCTCTCTATTGTGACTGGTAAAAGCGTTGGAAGGTGCTTGAACCATAAGAGACTGGTACTTCCGTAGGCAGCACTTCCAGCACTTTACTGCTGGTAGAGATTCTTTTTGTCCTGTATTTGATTGATTATTATGGCTCATAATCTTTCCTTGATTTTGATTTTTGTTTGTTTCTGTTTAATCTTTGAATTCCCTTTTTAATAGTTATAGTGTGTGATTAGGAATGAAGACACTCCATCCAGTGTGAAAATGTCTGTGTGCCTCAGATGGGTAATATCCAGGATCATAAGCACATGGATGCACAGGAGATGTGAAGTCCACTCTGACTAATGCAATCACTCCATTCTATCTAACAGAAATAGTAGATTTTTTAAAATAGACTCTTTTTTTGCCCAGATTACCCAGAAACACCTGCTCCATGAAGCTTCCTCCTACCTGCTGGAGAAGAAAGGAGATGTTCATGGTGCCTTCCTAGTAATGCTTGAGGTATAGTAAACTGAGGTCCTGTATTCAAAAGCTGAGCACTTCTGCTAAAATGATCAGCGGCGAAATAGGTTGTGTTGAAACTAAAATGTCGTCATTAGTTTTCAGTGTTGTTCTGCTGAGATGAATGAGGGCAGTATTGTATTAATTTTAGATGGCATGAAGAGCCCAAAGAGTCAGAGGTGGTAATGGGACCCTGAAACTGTCCAATATTAAACAGTTGTAAACAAGGTTCAGTGTTTGATTTACAGAGACCTCAGCCTGCTTAGTATCATGGCAAACACATTGAGTCCTTTTTAACCTTTTATTAAAGATACAGAAGAGAGAGAAACAGTTTAAGCATCTTAAATGTAAAGAGTTAAGTGAGGCTTTCATTTTAACAACTTCCCTTTCCCTTTAGAGAATCTCTTGGAGGAAAAAACTCCTTGTTTGGTAGTCTCTTATTTGGTAATAACTGTCCTTTTTGGGGAAAAGAGAAAAACTTAGTTGATGGCTGGAGCTGTTTTGTTGTTGTTTGTTAATGTCCAGTCCTGTTTCCTAGAAGACACAACAAGACAAAACACACCAAAGGGGAGGAAAAAAAAACAGCAAAGTTAGCAAATGCAGCGTCTGTCTCTGGTGTCAACTCTCACTTGCAGCCTCATTGCTGAAGAAATACAGGCGCAGCACGTGATTTGATCAACCACTCTGAGACCTGGCAAACTTAGACTGTTTAGGGCATTTCACTTAGCTGCCTTTTTCTGGTCACAGGATGCAAAATATACAGCATTGGCTGGCTAAGCCAGACTCTTACTAGACAAGGAAAAAGAAGAGAGATGTAAGATTAGAAATAAATAGTGTAGGGAAGGAAAATTACAGATTGGGGGATGGAGGGAAGGCAGAGTCTCACATTTCCAGGTGGTGCTTGGGATTTAGCAGGATCAGGTAGAGGTGGAGGTGGTGATGTCATCTGAGTCCCTCTCTGTGGCACAGTCTGGTCGGGACATCTTTCAGAATTAGGATGAAGAAGGTCCACGGTCCCAAGAGACAGGGGGGTGGCACCTATGATAAGAGAGCTCACTCCTTCCCCTGCTCTCAACTTTCAGTTAGCCAGTGGTCTCTTTTTAGGACCCCAAAAGGGATTGATAGCTGGAATAGCCCATCCCCGTATTATTTTGTTCACCAGTTAGGCCGAATTCTGACACACCAGTTTGGGTTCATTGATTTCAGGCCCCACACGTCTCATGTTTACCAGCCATGATCTGAAAACAGTTCCTGAATTATGCAGAAGGCCTTTTTGTTCGAACTACCCTAGTCTTTTTGTCTCACTTTTGCCCCTTTACCCATCAACATTTATTGTTACAGCTTGTGACGTTTTATGAGCTTTCACTCACTCACTTCTGACAGTTGAATTCACAATTATGGTAAATCGGTAGGTCTAGTTATTACAACAGCAGTTAGCTTTTGTCAGAGCTATGTTCCAGGCTGTCTGCAGACTCAGCAGACATCTCTGCGTTGGTTTACATTTGCTTTACATTTTGAATGTTGTCTTTGTAGCAGATTGAGACTTGATTTTGATTATCTTAGTCAAAGTTTAACTTGCAGGTTGTTCCCCACATATGAGGGAGGGTCTGTGCACTGCAGTAGTCGTGCTCAGGCAGCAAAGTGCCCTTTGTATAAACCCTGTGACTTTAATGGTCTAAGATATATTTTGATTTGTTTTAGCAACTACGAAGCAAGTTGTTGATGCTTACATATGAAATTGAAGGTAAGCTGTTGGTTTTGATTTTAATTAAAAATTATTTTACCTTCAGTTTTTCCATGAGATGTGTGTTCTTTGAAATAGAAGTGCTAGAAGTTAAAATGCTAACTTAGCTATCATAGCAATTCAAGTGAACTTTCATCATCCAGCGATTCTCAGATTTTTAACTCACAAGAGCCTCAATGGATTGTTACAGTTCAGTTGCTGCTCTGTGATCCCTTGTGGTCATGATTGGCACTGTGGTGACCTGCCAGAAATTTGTCTCATGAGTCTAATTTCACAACAGAAAGATCTGACAGCTCATTACGTTTGTCCTTGAAAATGAGAAACATCTGGCAGTAATTGATCCCATTTCAGGATTCCAGGGACAGAGAAATCTTCCACATAGTGATCCTTTCATCTTACAGATTGAGAGTCATCTTGGTTGAAGAAACAATGGGAAAAAAGACTACATTATATATTCTGGAGTTATGGACTACCAAAACGTCCCTCGATCCCTTATAAAGCAGTCACGCGGAGCTAAGTGTGTTCTTCTCTAGAGAGAGAATATGGCTGATGGGGGGGAGGGGGGAAATCAAAGTAAAACTTTTATGAGAAACTACAGTCATGTCACAACTTAGCAGTTTGATGCATTTGCACTTAGCAAGTGTGCATGGTGCATAAGCTAGCTAATACATTCAGCATTTTACTCATACTTATGTTTCCTTTTAAATTTAGTCTTTTTACACAAGCAGAATTAGCCTGTACAGCTCATTGCCACAGGATATAGTTGAAGCCAAGAGCTTACTAGGAATAAAAAGCCATCAGACATGTATATGGATGACAACATCTGTACTTATATTAGATAGGACAAACATAATATATGATATAACCTCTCTCCTGTTTCAGGAATAAGCCAACCATTAACTTGTCAGGGTATAGAAAGAAACAACTTCTTCGAGTGCTGTCCCTGTGCGTGCTCCACTCCAGGTGACGGTGCGTCCTGGCGCCGTTGATAGATCTTCAGTAGCAGTGCCTGGTCGGGACGCACGTGCTCAGCTGCTGTCTTGCGGCATCGTTAGGGTCTGCCTGAGCGCGCGTGTCCTGCACTCTTCTCAGTTTCTTCTCAACTGTCCTCAGGTGAAGACGGGACTTGGGGCAGTGCTCATCTCTTCCCTGGTTACTGTAGGAAATAAGTAGAGAAAAATAGAAATTGTTAGCTAGCCATTTCCCAGTTCTCCCTTTCCTTTAGTATAGTTCATTAGTTTAAAAAAAAAATTCCTCAAGTTAGTCTCTTGTTGAGACTTCCCCGCCCGCTCATACTTTCATTATGCCGGGGTCGCCAGGCTTTAAGAAATGTGGCTCCTGCAAGGAGTCTGTTCCACGGTCTGACGGGCACTCACTCTGCGTTAAATGCCTTGGCGAGACACACGTCCCTACAAAGTGTCTCCACTGCACCAACTTAAAAACTAGAGCTTGCCGTGACAGCGACTTGCGGCTAAAAATGCTCCTCGTGGAGAAAGCTCTGCAGCTGCCTATGGAAAAGGGCAGTAAACCCTCTCCCTCAGGCTCCCCTGCCAAGTCAGAACAGACTGGGAGCACGGCTTCATCCTCTCACGGGAAGAGGCAGGAAGCCCTAATGTCTCCTCTCCGAGACACTCAAAAGGGTAAAGGATCTCCTGCAGGGTCTTTACCCTTGACGCTGTCAGCACCGAGAGCAGGCAACTCTGACTGCCCCTGCACTTCAGAAGCAACTCACACGGGGCTCAAAAGCAGCGACGTGACTTACCACAGCAGGAAGCTCTCCTCGGCACTGGTCTCTCCGGCACCGACAATGGGCCCAGTGCTGGCAACGCTTTCCATCCCCGCACCGACCCTGCCTGCCACTCCCGAGCAGATTCAGACCCCCTGCGGGGCACTCACAAACGTCTCACAGCTCCTGCAAAAGTGAAACTAAAATCACTGGGCTGCTGCTCACTCTTCATGCTCTGCAGCATACCAGCCTAGGGTGCAGCAACAATTCCTGCATCAGCAGGATATCTCTGTGGCCCCTGAGCCTGACTCTCCTGTCCTCCACACGGAGCACTCACTGTTTGAACAGCAGCTCTCACCACCTGACCTGGCTACTTTCACTGATCATGAGAACGGCACACAGCAGGAGGCAGAGTTCTCCCTGCCTGCATCTCCCCCTCCACCAGAGCCATACCCCAAGACATGGCGCATCATAAGAATCAGCCTCAGTTTCCCTACTTTGTCCCCCAGTGGCCGGGACCCAACTTTTCCTACCCGGTGCCCTGGCCTCAATGGTACCTGTGGTCGGCTCCTCCCACCGCTCCTCCTTGCGCCTCTTCTACCGGACCACAAGCTCGCCTATATCTCCAGCTCCATCAACATCTAGAGCTCCTGAACCCCCTCCTGAAGAGGTGGGCTATGAACCCTTCCCGGATTTACCGGCTTCTGCCTCGCCATCAGCCTCAGAAGACGCCCTCATGCCTCCACCTCCACAAAACGTGGAGGACTTTAAGCAAATCCAGGAACTTTTCAAGAGAATGGCACTCAGCCAGGACATCCGTATGTCTGGATAACCGTACTCAGAGAGTTGTTATTAATGGTTCCCAATCCTGCTGGAAAGGCATAACGAGTGGGGTGCCGCAGGGTCTGTTTTGGGACTGGCTCTGTTCAATATCTTTATTTAATGACTTAGATATTGGCATAGAAAGTACGCTTATTAAGTTTG